GTCAGTGGATAGAGCCTGTGGACTGAAAGGTCCCGGGTTCGATTCCGGTCAAGGGCATGTACCTGGGTTGTGGGCATATCCCCAGTGGGAGATGTGCAGGAGGCAGCTGATCGATGTTTCTAACTCTATCTCTCTCCCTTCCTCTCTGTAAAAAATCAATAAAATATATTTAAAAACAAAACAAAACAAAAACCAACATGGGACAAAGAGCGATTTTCTGCCATTGTGCTGTGCCTTCTGAAACAGAAAGTTTGGCCTCCCTACAAAATCCGTTCACTTCTATATGCTGACAGATCACAATGCTTATGTCAAATCATCTCGCACAGTGACTACAAGCATGAAAATTAAAAGCACAAAAGCGCCCTAGCCAGCTTCGCTCAGTGGATAGAGCATCGACCTGCGGACTGAAGGGTCCAGGTTCGCTTCTGCTCAAGGATACATACCTCAGTTGCAGGCTCGAGCCATGGCCTGGGTCCCTGGCCGGGGCGGGGGCACATTCAGAGGCAATCAATCAATGTGTCTTACATCAATGTTCCTCTCTCTCTGTCGCTCCCTCTCCCTTCCTCTCTCTCTAATCCTCACGTGAGAATTAATAACAGCAACAAAAGTACAAAAACAAAAAACTTCACAAAATGGTCATAAATCAGAGCAGTTTCCAGGGTAGTGAAGGATGACCTGGAAAAATTCACCGCAGCATAATGTGCGAACAACAGTGTCCATGAGAAACACGACCTTCGCTGAGGATGGGGGTTCAGGTCCATTCCCTAGTCAGAGAGGAAGAATTGAGGATCCCGACCACAGCTGAGTATTCATAATTTTCCCAGGCAAAAGCGAGGACACGGATGTCATCTTCCCTGAGCACGCAGGTGTGACTGAGGCACACGGTCCAGAGGAGCCAGGTGGGAGAGGTGAAATGGTTCCAGCCACAAAAACTGGCAGTGACATCGATCAACCTGGTAATAGCCCTTGCAGGTTACAGTGCAATGCAGCCCCTTAAGGCCTCTCGTGAACTTGACTCATCAGGAACCTAGCAGAGTGTATGTTCCATGAACAGGAAGTTAAATTCAGGTAAATAACTCTGAGTCTCCTCCGTGTTGTTATGCTTAAGGCCTTTCTTCAGTGTGAAGTCTCTGGTGTCTAAGGAGGTTAGATGTGCGGGTAAAAGCCTTCCCACATTCATTACACTTATAAGGTCTTTCTCCAGTGTGCACTCTTTTGTGTTTAATGAGGGTAGAGCTTTCTCTGAAGGTCTTCCCACAATCGCTACACTCGTAGGGCTTTTCTCCAGTGTGAATTCTCTGGTGTGTGAGCAGGTTATATGTGCGGGTAAAAGATTTCTCACACTCATTACACTCGTAAGGTCTTTCTCCAGTGTGTACTCTTTTGTGCAGAATGAAGTTAGTCCTTTGTCTGAAGGACTTCCCACAGTAACCGCATTCATATGGCTTCTCTCCGGTGTGAATTCTTTTGTGTTGAATGAGGGCACAGCTTTGTCTGAAGGACTTCCCACAATCACTACACTGATATGGCTTTTCACCAGTATGAATTCTCTGGTGTCGAATGAGATCAATTTTATAGCCAAGGCATTTCCCACAATCACCGCACTCGTAACGCTTTTCTACAGTGTGAATGCTCTGGTGTGGAATGAGGAAATCTTCGCCGTGAAAGCATGTCCCACACACACTGTACAGATCCGGTTTCCCTCCTGTGGGAACCCTTCTATGTGGAGTGACCCTCCCACACTTGCTACACTCATGAAGCCCTTCTCCGGAACAGGTACTCTGCCGCTGATCAAGGTTCTGACTGTGGAGAGCAGCCTTTTCACACTCGTCCGATGCATGACTTCTTCCACTGTGAGCGGCCTGCCCACCATCACTGCCACTGTGTGGGCCCTCAGTGATAAGAGTGGACTGGAGCTGGAGAGGGCCGGAGATGGCTGGAAATTCCGCCCCAACATCCTGACGCGTGAAAGGCGTCCCTGATGCACAGAAGCTGCCCCCGGTCACCAAGTTGCTGTCCGCCTCTCCTCTGCAGGGCTTCTCCCCACTGGCTTCCCTCTGTTGCTGGGCAAAGTCTGCACTGAAGCAGGAGCCGCTCACAGAGGCAGCTCTGAAGCACGTTTCATTTTCAAGGTTTGCTGCTTGGCACTCATTCAGGTGCAGAATATCTCTGAACACTGAGACACCCTGCCTGCAGGGGTGGGTCCTCCGGGCTGCTGGCACTGTCTCAGAAGCTCTTACCTGTGACTCTCCTTCTACAGACACACTGTGCGCAGAAGGGGCCTCCTCATTTGCCAAGTTATGCCAACAACCTGAAAGCAGAGAAATGCTGAGCACACAGATGTTGACTTTAGTGGGAAGGGGAAGTCCCATGACAAAGGACTGTCAGACATAATACAATGGTTTCATGGGATTGTCTGAAATAAGAGACCTGGCCCTGGCTGGTCTGGCTCAGTGGATAGAGCGTCGGCCTGCAGACTGAAGGGTCCCGGGGTCGATTCCGGGCGAGGGGACATGCCCAGGTTGCAAGCTCCATCCCCAGTAGGGAGTAAGCAGGTGGGAGCTGATCCATGATTCTCTCTCATCGTTGATGTTTCTATCTCTATCTCTCTCTCTCTCTCTCTCTCTCCCTTCCTCTCTGAAATCAATAAACAAAATATAGATTTTTTTTTTTTAAGTTAAGTAAAATAAGAGCCCTGAAGGCAGGTTGAATAATGTGTGGTTGTGCAGTGCTGGGCCTCTGAGGATCACAAAGTAGAGGAGACCTCCCCAGAAAAAGGACACAGAGATGGCGTGCAGCACAGAGAGAAGCAGGAAGGCAAGCACCCCATGTAATAGAAGCTGGATTGTCTGATCATTCTTCTGCTAACAGTGTTCAGCTGGGCTTGTCTGCTGGTGACATGGGCAAGCTGTGCAGAAAGTTCGTTATGTTTTTATCAAAGTAAAATTCAAATAATGAGTAGCTGGTGTCCAAGCACTACTGAAGGATGTATGTGCACCTCACAACCATGACGTGACATGGCACAGGCAGTCACAAAGCATAATTAGCTAGAGGGAAGGGGCAGAATTAGAGGCCATGGACCCAGACAGTCATCCTGCAAAGCTGAGGGCAAGCAAGGTGGGAAGACTCCTGACTCCCAGCATTTCCTGTTCTTTCTGAGGCAACTGTTGTGAGGGATGCTTGAGTGTGCATTGCTAAGGACTCTCCATGCAGTTCGGCCCTGGCACCCACCGCCCATGACAGAAATGTGGGGGAAGTTAACAGAGTGCACGGTCTGTGAAAAGGACAGCGATACTTTGGGGGGGGCGGGACACATCACCTAGGACCATGGTCAGCAAACTGCAGCTCTCGAGCCACATGCGGCCCTTTGGCCCTTGAGTGTGGCTCTTCCTAGGCCTTAGGAGGACCCTAATTAAGTTAATAACAATGTACCTACCTAGTTAAAAAATTTGGCTCTCAAAAGAAATTTCAATCATCGTACTGTTGATATTTGGCTCTGTTGACTAATGAGTTTGCCGACCACTGACCTAGGACACTAGGAGAATGTGAAGGTCTTACCTAGCGATGCTGCAAGTGCATAGATTTCCAGCATCACGTCGCAGTACAGAAGTCTCTGAGCCTCATCAAGAAGCCCCCACTCCTCCTGGGAGAAGGTGATGGCCACGTCCTCAAAGTTCATCTCCTGTCACAATGGGGACAGTTCAGTCCATTACCAGCTTCTCTCCTAGGATTGCAGGTTTGTCGCACACCCCCACCCTCCACGTGCATCTGCTCCCTCTACTGCCCACATCAGAGAACACGCCTGACCTTAGTGCTATACTCCTACTGATACTGTGTCTTCCCATCCCCAATGGGCAGGTAGGCAGATAAATGGCATCTAAGCCCTGGGCCTGGCATGCAGGACCGCAGCACCCCCTCTTTTCAGACAATTCCCCTGGGGCTCCACACATCATTTCCAGACACGAACAGACCTGGGCTCAGCCTGCATTCACTCTGTTGTCAATGCGAGACCCTGGGGCCAGGAATTCACACTCCCTCCCACACCTCCCACACCTCCCACACCATAGTCATCTCCTTGGCCTCCCTATAGGACCAACTTTGAGAACCAACACCTACAAAGGCGGCCTCCGTCCTGCTCTAATCCTCCCTCCCACTGTGACTGCTCCTTGCTTCACCCTTACCGACCGGGAAGCACAGCAGATCTGACACCCACGGCTGCAGCTGATGTTCCCTCACCAGGCACAGCCTCTCCCTCTCCACCTCGCCCTCATTCAAGGCCAGCAGATCTGACACCCACGGCTGCAGCTGATGTTCCCTCACCAGGCACAGCCTCTCTCTCCACCTCGCCCTCATTCAAGGCCAGCCGTTGCCTTCTATCCCACGTCCAGCGCGTTCACAGATAACCACTTATGTACCTACGCTGACCTGCCAGCCTCCCTTCCACACCGCAGGCCACACCCGGGGACACAGCCGCGTCCTGGTGACCCTTAGAGCAGTGGATCTGACCCCCAGTCTCATCTTGTGTGAGTTACTCCTCCACCTCCGCTCCATCGGACGTCCACTCAAGCCCTCGAAGGCCTTGGCCACCTCCTGAACCATATTCGCTCCCCGCCCTCTACATGACCACTTTGTCCCTAATCTGTGTTGTGAGTCCCACCTCCCCCAATCAGACTCTAGGAGAAAACCCCGCCCTCAGGCCCACCGTCTTCATCCCAGGGTAAGATTACAATGATTGCCCAGGCCAGTGTGGCTCGGTGGATAGAGTGTCAGCGGAAGGAAGGGTCTCAGGTTTGATTCCAGTCAAAGGCAAGATCCCAGGCCTTAGTTGGGGCATGTGCAGGAGGCAACCAATCATTGTGTCTCTCTCACACGGATGTTTCCATCGCTGCCTCTCCCCCCTCCCTTCCACTCTCTAAAAATCAATGGAAAAAAATGTCCATGGGTGAGGATTAACAACAACAGAAAGATTATCATTATCATCATGACCAGGATTCCCCATATTAAAGCATTCTACAGCGCCTGCCTGAACCATACACTCCCCACTACCTTGGAGAGAAACTTCCATCCTGAACTCCTCAGAGTTCCAGATGCCCATGAACTGCTCTCTGAAGCATCTATACCCTTAATAAACAAAAAATAAAACTCCTGATATCCCCAATGACAATTACTCCTACTACTGTGGTTTTTCCCATCTCAGTTGATGGTGCTTCCATACCTCTGGCTGCCAAAAGCAAATTTTCAAGGCATCCTTGATTCCTACCTCTCTCTCTGTCAAAGTTCAATGAAGAACATGTAGCCCTAGCTGGTTTGGCTCAGTGGATGGAACATCGGCCTGTGGACTGAAGGGTCCCAGGTTCCATTCCGGTCAAGGGCACATGCTTGGGTTGTGGGCTCGATCCACGGTAGGGGGTTGTGCAGGAGGCAGCCAATCAATGATTCTCATCATTGATGTTTCTATCTCTAAACCTCTTCCTCTCTGAAATCTATATTTTTTTTAAAAAAATTTTTTTTAAGAAATATAGGTGGCCACACCTAAAACACAGATCCAGAGTCCTACTCGTTCCCACCGCCATGGCCACCATCACACCTCAGGTACCATCACACTCGCCCCGACTACGGCAGCAGCCTCTCCCTGGTCACACCTACACCGCCCTCCACGCTGCAGCCACAGGAGACCCGGGTCAGATCCCCCGCCTCCACGGCTGCCAACTCTCCCATGGCCCCCATCACCCGCAGACCAGACACCTGACCTGTCACAAAGCTGCTCAGGACCTGATTCCGGTCCCGCTGTCCCCAGTTCCCATGGGAAGAAAGGCCACCTGTGGGTGCCTGGACCAGCTCAGCCTCCCCCCGGAAGCCCCTGCACATTCTGGCCCCTGTGCCTGAGAGGACGGCCCAGGTCTCACTGCACACGTTGCCGAAACCTGAGACCACTTCACACCACCTGGGACCTGGACTTCAGCTCCTGTGCTTGTCCCTGTTCAAGGTCCCCAGGTCCAGGGGCTGGAGAGCAACACGACAGCCCCAGGACCCCACGACCTCAGAGGCCACCAGAGAGTGAGGCCCTGACATCAGCCCCACAGCCCCGACCCTCAGCGGCTCTGCCGCCGCAGGAGCCGGTGGGAACTAACGGGCTCTGAGGGCCGGGCACCCACCCCAGGACCCAGGGGCTCTGCCCGAGGTCACGTGACACAGAGATGCCACCCCCCCCAGGGCGCCCCCTGCTGGGCTTCGGTGCTCACAGCCTCTCCTCCGCCCTCACTGCTGTCCTCTCTCCTGGAGGCGGCTCCTCCTCTGGGCGGTTGTGGGATGTTTAGACCCCCATCTCAGGCCTCATCCCTCTGCTGCTCACAACCACCGACGGCCACGGCGCCCTGAGCAGGAAGTGAACCTCCTCAAAGAGAACTTCACCTCATCTTCTCTGATGCTTAAAAAAAAAAAATCCTCACCCTAACTGGTGTGGCTCAGTGGATAGAGCATCGGCCTGCAGACTGAAGGGTCCCGGGTTCGATTCCGGTCAAGGGCATGTACCTGGGTTGCGGGTGCATCCCCAGTGGGAGGTGTGCAGGAGGCAGCTGATCGATTTGTCTCTCTCGGATGTTTCTAACTCTCTCCCTTCCTCGCTGTAAAAAATCAGTAAAATATATATTTTTTTAAAAACCCTCACCTGAGGATATCTTTTCCATTGATATTTAGAGAGAGATTAGGAGGGAGGGGGTAGAGAGAGAGAAACATCCAGGCGAGAGAGACCCGTGGGCTGGCGGCCCCACCGGGACTGGGGAACCTGCAAGCGAGGCAGGTGCCCCTGACGGAGGCTCGAACCTGCGACCTTGGTGTCTGGGGGCCGACGCTCTAACCATTGGACAAACCGGCCAGGGCCTCCTGGATGCATTTTCAATGTTTCCTCAGTGAGGAGGAGGGAGGAGGACAGAGGTGGGAGGGGGGAGGGAGAGGTCTGCGTGGCCTGACCAGAGAGGACCCGGACCCGCACCCGCGGTGTCTCCGGGGCCGCTGCCCCCATGGGCTCCGCTGCCAGCGCCTCCCAG